TATTAATTAACAATTAAAAACAATTAAATCTAACTAAACTAAGTTTCATTCTAACACAAAATAAATATATGATTTTATAATTGCCTAAATTCATCTAATAAAGAAATGAATTAAAAATATATGTACGAATTAAACAAATAAATCAGATACATTCACCAATTAAATATAGCACAAAATACAAATAAATAAATAAAATTGAATAATAATAATAAAATAAAACAAATAAAAAGTACCTTAATTCCAAAAAGAAAGGAATGAAGTGGTCTAAATCTAACAAAACAAAATAAATAAAATTAGATTACAAATAGAATAAACAAACAAACAAAAAACGGAAAAAAAAAGGAAGAGGCAGCCGTTCACCGGAGGAGGCGGCGACAGGGGAAGAACGGAGGAGGAGGCGGCACGCCGGCGGCGGGGTAGAGGGAGGACGCGCCGGGGCAGAGGGAGGCGGTGGCGGTGGCGGAGCAGCGAAGTGGCAGCGACGGCGGAATAAAAAAATGGTAGGGTTTGGTGGTGGGGTAGGGGGTTTAAAAAAGGGTTAGATGGTCGTCTCTTACAGGTGTCCAGTTTTGAGACGTGGTCGTCTCTTGAAAAGACGACCATCTAAGGTGGTCTGACGACCACGTCTTAAAACTTAAAAAAAAAATTAAGTGGCTCCAACGTGGCGCCACGCTGCATGACGACCACGAGGGATATCCTTTGGTTTTTTAAAACAACCATATTTTTAAAAAAAGTTTTAAAAACTACCGTATTTCGAATATTTTTAAAATAAGTTTAATATATAATTAAAAAAACCCGACTAAAATAGACATTGAAAGATCAGTGAACAAAATGGAATAAGTTTAAAAGTTCATAAACTAAGATGATGTTTATATCTTAATTTTACTAGATACATTAATAATTTATTTCAAATAAAGAATAGTTTTAGCGATGAACATAGCTAACGGTAATTGGCACATACTTCTTTCCTTGAGATCGAAGGTTACAAAATGTTGGTTTTAATCCATGTAATTTTAAAAGGTAACCCATTGATCCATAATTCCAAATTTCTAACACAAATTTTATTATAAAAAAAAAAACTTTTGAATATAAAACTATGATAATATTTTTTAAAAAAATTATTACATGAATTAAAAAAACAACTATAGAAATTGCGATAGAAAAATGATATTTAAAAAAATAACTACACTCGTCAGCTTTTAAAATTCATGAATTAAAATAAACTTTTTGAAATGGATAAAAATTGTGAAATTACATCAATTAAAATAGACAAAAATTCAAAGTATGTATAGATCAAAATAGAATTTGAATTTCCAAAATATAATTTCTTCATTTTTTCTTTTCTTTAATACTATTGTCGATATAAATCTATAATTCGATCAAAAGGTCATGGATTCAAATCTCCAGTCTCACATAATACTAAAAAAATCGAACAAAAAATAGATATTTGTTAATCTACCAACAAGAAAGGTTATTAATATTTTCGAGAGTATAAATATCTTAGAATCAGCTTTAAAATATATATTTTGACCCTATAATCTGATAGTATTGCCTAATTTTGGCCTTGGCAATTCAAAAATTTCCAAAGAATAAAAATTCAAATAAGGATTTTGACATTTCAAATTGTCAATAGTTTCCCAATGCATGTTTTAACACACAAAAAAAAAAAACTATTATTTGTTCAATTAATAAAGAATTTGACCACTGAAATAGTGTAATATAACCGAAATATTTCATTGTGCACGTGTTATTAAATTATTAAAAGTATTAAAAAATTAAGGTTTCAGTTTCCTAAATTTGAAGTCTATTCTATTTTATTAGTTGTTGAACTCTCAAAATATATTTTATACTTTGAATCTTTAAATTTGTTCTATTTTTGGTACAGTAACTATTAAAATATCTATTTTAAATGTTGAAATTTTATAATATTAGTTATTGAATAAATAAATAATGTGACTTTGACCATTTATAAATATGGATTACATGTATCGAAGTCACATAATTTGTCTAAGCATAGTTAAGTTTGCTAAAGTAATTGTTGCAACAGTATTTTTACAAAATAATTGCTTTTCGAAAAATTGAAAAAATAAATTCGTATTAAATTTCAATTTCAAACCTAAAGAGAAGGTTAAAATGTGATTTAGCTCAAATTATTTCAATTATTTTAATATTGATACTTAAACTTTTAATTGTTATAAGATATTATTATTAAATTATGTTTATAAGATATTATTATTAAATTATGTTTACTTTAAATTATTTGATAAAATATTATTAAAAAATGTTATAAAAAAATTGAATCTATCAAAATTTCCTTTCAATTTAGAAAATGTAAGAAAGATATAAGAGGCGAAAAAAGAAAGAAAAAAAGTGAAAATAAAATTGTATGGAATGTTATATATTTAAGAGTTCAATCCCTACCCCTGTGTACGAATATGAATATATATATATATATATATATATATATATATATATATATATATATATATATAACTCTTTGAGTTAAAATAAAAATTTTGAAGTTGGTTTAAAGCGAGGCCAATTTTATTGCGCTGGTGCAGGTTTTTATTAAATAACGTTCGACTTGTATGTGTTAAGCATATAGCTAGCGTTCCTTCTGAGCCAGGATCAAACTCTTCTTTTGAGTATGATTGGACCCCACTGTGGTAGAACCTGGTGAACCGGCACAAGCAGCTATAGTGAGGAGCAAACCTGAAATAAAAAATACAAGTAACAACTATTATTTATAATTATAAAAAGAGTTCCTAACATAAATTTTTGGGTAAGCTTAAAAAGAAAATATTGTTGCTAAAATAAGAAATTATGAAAATATAATTTTTATGAACTAATTTTGAGAATATTGAAGTTTTTGAAACCATTAAATGACTTAGTCATTCAGAGAGACAATTTTAGGTGATGTGGCATGACACGCAGAAGAAGACGATTTCTCTAAATAATAATTGAATTTATTACGTGGTTGTGTAGTCTTTTTGTGTCTCTAAGAACCTATGACCTATGAGATATCTAACAAGCAAAAAACTTTATGGAAGAAAAATAAAGTTTATGCAAGTGGTGAAATCATCTCTTCTATGGATGATTATATGTTTTAGTTGGCCCATGACCATATTTACCTTAATACACTTCCCAATGATATGTAAGTCAAGATACATTTGTTGTAGAAGCACATTTTTCCGACGCTAAGCACTTTGTTCTGTTAGGCGGCTTATAGATTATAGAAACAAATGTAGTTGATGCATATGATTTTGTCAAGGATCGCAAAATGGAATCAAATATAAGAGAAAGACATCGGAAAGCTCTATTAAAGACTTTTGAAAGATAAAAAAATCTTTATTAAAGATAAACCCCAAGTAATAGTACTATACGCCTTCGAAGTAACATCATGCATGCTCCTATCAAACAAAATAAAATCGTGAATTATTTTTTCTCAAAATTTTGACAAAGAGAAAGCATGTCACCTTAATAGTCATACCTGTTTATGGAGATTAAGAATCCACTTCCAGAAGAAATCGAAGAATTTCTTGAGAATCCTACAAGTGATATATGCTTAACACATGCAAATTGAACATCGAAGGGCACTTGAGTTAGCCACCGTCACCCGAGGGATTGGAGTGGGTAAAATAGCACTCATTATGGAATTGATCAACAACATAGTCAAAACTCACGGAGGTATATTCGCACAAGTCCACATGAGTCCATACAAAGGGTTTACTTAAGATATGCCAAATTCCACGCAGATAAAGTCGCTCTAAATGTTATGCCTTGTGAGCTTATTATCCTAGGTGGAAAGAGATGACTTTTCTGAGATGAAATGAAAAACGGATTCATGTAACAAGGGGAAAAACAAGCAAATGAAAATATTCTTTCAATGTATTATTTATGGGTCCAATAAAATTTATAGGTCACTCAAAGGGGTTATCAAAGGGATCTCGTGGGACTTATGTTAATATATTGATTCCTTGGTTCTCAACCAACGTAGATCAGAACAACAATATTGTACAAAATAGTTTTTAAAAACTATATTATTTCAAAATTAATATGGAAAATTTTATTTTATAATATGTTTTGATAAAATAATG